GATAGTGGTTTGGCTTGCATTTTGAGCTTTACTAAATCGTACTGACTCAAAATAATGAAATTGTAGTTAAATGCTTGACGAAGTTATTACAGTCTATCCGTGAACATGGACATGATTATCGGTACATATACATCATATCACTGAAGGTGCAAAATAAAAACATAGTCATCCGATAGTACTCAGTTTTTACATCTTATACATGAATATGTGTAACATGCACTCAGCCGTGTATCCTTCACTCATGAAAACATAAGAATACGTACAGCCGTATAATTACAAAACCTTTATTACCTGCGCAAAGGCTAATTTGTATCAGCATTCGTCGATAAATAATATCTGTTATCTTGGTATATGCCATTATGTTAATTGTGAATTAAGTGAAATAATTATTATACTCTTTATCAGTGCCAGTGAACTCCTTTCCTATGTAGTACAATTCAGTCAATACTGATAAAAATGTTGCTTGACCTTATAGTGTTTACTAAAACTTAATAAGATTAAATTTCAGTTATCATTAACGTTGCGTGATTTTACTACAAGTAATACTTTTTTATGGTTCATCAAAAGCCAATATCATCTAATAAACACTGATCTGTTTAATAATCATGCATGCAAACTTCAATAACGCATTTTCAACATTTTTCAGCTTGTTCAGTCGGAAAATATAGGCTTTTAATTATTATATAGAAACTAAACTTCAGTACAGCTAAATATCAATTCATACAGTTGACCTTATTCTCATCTAGCAGTCTTATCGACCAAAAAAATGATTGTCAAACCTAAACCTGTTAATTAGCACTTAATACTACCTATATTTTAATTACCTGTCGAATATGGTGGTTATTGAGACGTTTAACTGTTTCGGGTTTGATTTTAAAACGTTCACATATTACAAATATGTACATAGAATTTGTTGGTGTCCCTCTAATATGTTTAATAAATAAATCAAATCATTTAAAAATATGTCACTAATAAGTTGAATAAATTACTTTACGGTAAAATGCATGGCATAAAGTAAACAGTAATGGTTTGATGAACTTTAATTTTTTTATATTTCAAATGTTAAAAGTGTTTGTATTGTTATTATCAAATTAAATTGAAGATCAAAATAGTAATGTGGTATTACTGCATACTTACAAAATACTTGCTATCGACATTACGCAAAACAAACCTAACCGTACACTTCCCAAGCACAATAACTGACACTTGCATACACAGATAGGTTTTCTTGTCATAATTATATACAGGTCAATTACGTAGATTGTACAATGTATGGTTGAAAACAATTTTTATGTTGATGAATTCGCAAAATCACGCATCAGCCACGTATTTAACTATGGACTATTATATTCAAGAATACAATGTTTCGTTTATTGTCGATACCTTTTTAAAGCGAAATAAAATACAACCATTGTATTGAGAATTACTATTTGCAAATATCACCTATACTTAAATAATCTTCGATTCTTTCTCCTAAATTACTATTCCTTTACGAAGGCGTAAACTGTTATTCAGTCACCAATCCTTGACGTTTAGCGTGAATATTATATACCCTATACATGATCTTATAAGAATGATTTATTCATAAGTTTACACACATAGAAAAATCATTACAAGCTCAAACAATATGTCAAAATAGTTCAAGAAAACACTAAAATAGAAATCTATTTTCTCCTTGTACACTAAACACTTTATTGTATTACAGTTTCAGTAATTACTATTATAAATACAAGTGTGCGTCATATTAAGCCAAAAGTTATCAGTTTTTCACAGGTTACTTTTAATAACGTGCATGGTCTTTCTCTTGTCACGACAACTGATGACTTCAGTCCCATGTTTACGTGATCCAAAAGAAATTTAATCCCACTTTTTATCACAATATCTATACACAGCCAGGAGTATATTATGTTGGTCGATCAGAATTGATGTCTTTTTTCTAGAAGTTACAACTTTATGTCAAAGCGCGGAAGAAACAGACTGACAGAATCTTTTTAAAACATAAAACTTATATGTGAAAATGCGAATTTCGACATCCAATCAAACTAGTTTATGCTACTTTGGTTTGAACTCATCAGATTACAAAAATGCACAATTTACAGATAATTAACAAATTATTACAGGCAATAAAATGTTTGTTCATTAACACATGAGCACACACTTTCAAAAACAGGTCAATCAATCACTTATTTTTTTTAATTTTTTAATCACACCCAAAATATTTTCACCATTGGGGTTCATGAATCACAACAAATGTCCAATAATTGTCAGCCCAGAAAACAAACATTTGTTTGAATGGACGTTTTCATCTATTTAACACCATAAAGTGGCAAAAACTATTCCCCATGAATTTTAATATTAATTGGGAAAAAATAAAGAGGTAACGAATACTTTCCGATGTATTGTTAACAGAAAAAACTTATCAAAAACGATGAGGATATTAGTCTCTTATGAATAAATTAATTTAAACTATGATAATAAAGATTTCACAATCAAATCTGAACTCACAGACAAAATCAAGTAGTCATTGTCTCAATTAGTGGACTAACTGTCTTCATAACCCCTGAAACATTTATGGTGTCCCTATAACAATAAAAAAGAATAAGTGAGACTTTCAATAGCACTATACTGTCTGTACCCACTTCGTAACTATGATTCTTTCTATAAGCTTGATTATCCTCATACTTTCCACATCTTTACCCTTATACTGTTTGGTCAAGAGTAAATATATGTCAGTTTGTAAACATACAACACTAGAAGTGTATTGGCGCATTCAAATCAACCTGATTACAATTCAAAAATAAGGTGGTTCTATATTCACTTTTCTGAAGGAAAACAGTAAATCCTACATTAAGATTGATGTGGAGCTCAAATTCACGTTTTAGTTGGTAATTCTGATATACTCGAAAGTCAGTATATTAAGAAGTAAATTAGATGCCATTTATGTATGTTAATATACAGAGCAAAACAATAACTATTCTTCGACATTTCATACAGACTGATGAATTTGTAAATGATGTTACACCTAGTACATACTGGGAATAATAGATTACAAATCTCCTGTAAACATCATGACAGTTAAATTGACATCATGGTAAACGGTATTTAATTTCATGTGACTAGATAGATTTAGGAACGAGTCTTGCTTAATTTTGTGCTTTCTTTTATATCGATCAACACAAATCATTCAGGTTTGGCTTCAGTATCCAAGCAATTCATTCTTTACATTAATAATCGAGTAGACGTCTTACGAATCCTCCAGTAAAAGACGCTAAATTTGTCATCTTCAAGTTATATCAGATACACGATGAAAGTATATAAAAAATTGCATTTCAGATGGCAACATATATAATACTTCAATCTCCAATTTGGTTTGCGACGGAGATTAATGAAGCCAAAAATCTAAGCATAAAATAAAGAGGGATTTCTTTTGTATGTTAAAATATACAAATTTCACTTTTCTAATCATGCACCTAATACGCCTCTACTTTTTTTCTTCCCACATATGATTTGTGTCAGAATCAGTTGAAAGTAGGTTTATTTGCCTTCACTAAAAGTGGAGAATTTTACGAGATAAAGAAATTAGCTTCGTGCCAACAGTGATATATTCGTTAATGTGAATGAAGAAACATCGCTATCCACCGAAGATTACACTCGTTAGATCTATACATAAAAACTGACCTGGAATATTCAGTACACAAGTTTCCAGATTGGTTAGAAAGAGAAACTTAATTCGCTCTTTATCCCCATGGACTAGATGAATATGTTACAATGACACAATAGATGACGAACTACTTCATCTTCGACAGATACTCATCAGAAATAGTTACCCGCCTAGATTTGTCGATAGAAATTTAACACCAAGATAACATCCTGAAAAAGTACTGATATTTCAAAAGAAAACTCTTTTTATGAGTATCGAATTTAAAGAAGATATGGCTGCCGAACTCTTGAATAAACAGATTTCAAAATCCCTGAATAAAACCATATGTTCAGCTAGGCTTCGTAACGTCTCCTCAAGCCGGCCCACTATTCACGGATGTGATGAGGATAAACTTTTGCTTTGGACCACATCAGTATGCGTCTATAAATTTACTTGCTCCTGTGGGTCAGATTACATTAACCGTTCAAAGCGATCCCTTTCCAAACGCATCTCAGAACACTACCCGTAGTGGCTTTTAAAAGGAGAATGCTAAACGATCACCAGTTCAATACAGGAGCATCTAACTAATGTTTTGTAATCTTAAACAGTAATCAGTTACTATTATCCTTTAACAATTTCCTATGATTATTACCCAGTTATTATTATGACCTTTACGTTTTTCATTTTTCTTCATATCTGTCAAAGGGACAATTATCTTCCATAATTCTGACCCGTAAATTATTTTCATAGACCTATTCTTCTCCAACCCCTTGATTATTACGCAACGTCAATTGAAATCTCGAATCACTTTGTGATGCAGTCTTTTCTATTTTTCTATGGATATATATTTACCAAACAACTGTAAATAAGAATATGCAGCTTGAGTAAATGATTTCATCGAAAAGAACATTTCCCTCACTGAATTCTCTTTATTTTTATATGACATGGCTTTTGTATTTGTTCAAATTGTGTTTTAAATTATCGTGCTACATCAAATTACATGTTGCTAAGCCATTAAACTTCGTTCAGGCAAAAGAGTCTGTATTCTGCTATTTCAAGTGAATTATAATCTCGTTCTAAGGGCTTGGGGAATTACGGCTATACAAAGCCTCCGAACCGTGATATTTATTGCAATCAATTTAATGTAATCAAAATGAAAACCCAGCAGGTATGAAAAAATATTACTCTTATGCCATTTATTATTTTCTGGTTGGCTCTTAGGGTGAGAGAAAAGAATACGGGAATGTGGGTGTATAGTCACGTGAATTATTTGGTGATTGGTTTAAACTCACAACTTGCATTGAATGTCTAACTGTGTCTATTAAGCACTTTGATATAGTCAGACCAGGTTTGGCCAATAGTAGATGAAATATCAGGTAGGCGTTTAAAGAGTCATACAAATTGCTTTGTGTATGAGGCTAAGTATATTTTGATCGGTATTATCAGTAATATTGTATTGACTACGCGTGCATGCAATTTGGGAAGTATTTTTAACCGATGTCTGCATACGATCCATTCAGTATTCATAATGGAGGTACTCATACTTTCAATGGGACAGAAACTATCAGTCGGATGGTGGTGGATGGAAATTATATTGATGGATCTTGGGAATTATCTGTTCGCGTTGAAGACATAAACACAAATGTTTCAGTACGTGTTTCGGGTGATCTGCCACTGGGTGGTTTGATGCATCTAATTGTCGAAAAAGTGAAGTTACAACAAAGTTGGTCAGATCATGCAATATGGTGGGTCGATAGAAATGTATGGCTTTTGCAGAGCCGGACAACATTGGATCAATATGGAATTCAGTCGGATGCTAGATTGGTGTTTCATCGTATGCATAACGATGTTCAAATAGTTTTACCCTCTTTAACTCCTCTAGTACTTCGTGTCAATTATGCCGCCCGGTTGTTTACTGTGGTTCGGGATATATGTAAAGAACTAAACATACGACATTCGGAGGAATTATCTTTAACACTTCCTATCACTAAAAATATGCTTAAAACAAATTGCCCATTACCGACTATTCGTCCAGGCTTGCGACGTCCTGGTTTGCCCAATCCAAGAAATGATCAATCTTCTGTTAAATCGAAGTTCCCTTCACCTGCGTCTTCAATTTATCCTACAGTTGATGGACAAAAAATTAATCCGTATAACACATTGAATTCAAATGCTGGTACAATAATGCGATTTAAATCTGATAACTCGTTAGATCAAGAAAGACTTGATTTCGCTCGCTATGCTGACTGTTCATTGAGACGTTCTGCAAAAGCAGTGTTTGCCGATAGCTGGTTAATGAAACCCAAGAATTTAGTTCAAAAAGCACGGCTGAACAGTGGATGGTTAGACTCATCTCGGTCACTTCTAGAACAAGGGATTAAACCATCATCTTTGGAACCCGATAGTCATAGTCCATCTAGCCCTCCAACTTTATATCTGTGCTTCAAATATTTCACTTTCTACGATGTGATTTTGAAATATGACGCTGTTCGTATTCATCAGCTTTATGAACAAGCTCGGTGGTCTCTTCTGTCTGGCCAGTTTGATTGTACAGAGGATGAGATGGTTGTTTTTGCCGCCTATCAGCTGCAAGCCGAGTTACAGTCTGCTGCTGTCAATCAGCACTTATGTATCACAAACTTCCCAGATATGAATAATACAAATCCTTATTCAACTTTAGGTGCTTGTACAACTGTGAGTTCTAATTATGTAAATCGTAGTCCAGTTCATGCTACTTCGAGTCCCGACTTGGCAAAAAAGCACTATCCGCTTTATAATAGTGGTGGGTCAGTTTCACAGTTACCTCGGAATTTATCTCCAATCAGTTCAGCTTTGGTGGATGAAATACCGAGTAATGTACATAACGTAGGTGGTGTAGACGAAGTAGATGAACTCCTGTCAGAACTGGAACAATCGTGTGGAGTTGCCGACGAGTCTGAACCAGTATCACGTACTCTACAAAATGCGATTCGACCAACTGGCCATGATATGACGGATACTTCTGAAGTACCTAGTCTTGAAGGTTCGATTAAAGTATTCCGAGATCGCTCTCGCCTCCTAAAACGTTACAAAGCGTACTGGGCTGTTATTGTAGAAGCTCGTCTGTATTTATTCAAAAATAAAACACAAACAAAAGAATGCTTAGCTGAGTATTCACTTCGCGATTGTACAGTCAGTTTTGATGTGAGTGTTGCACATCAAAAATACATAATCAAACTATCAGTTCCTTCTATATTGGATCAAAAGACAAGTAATGGTTCTCCTCTCACTCCTTCGGGTAACTCCTCTACACCTAGGGAATTATGCTCTACGCGAGAAGAAATATGGTTGAAGTTTGATTCAGGTGAACAATATGCTTGTTGGTTAGCTGCATGTCGTCTTGGTTCTAGGGGGAAAACATTGGCAAGTAAGGTAGCCTACAGTAAAGAAGTTGAAGCTACGTTAGAATTACTCAAACTTCAGATGCCTGGACCATCTCCAGCTATGTCACTTTCAGAATCTACAGCCTATTTGGGTGATTTGACAGATTTCTGTAATGAACGTATTATTCGAAAGGCACGTTCTAAAGATACTCTAAGACAACGTATCACTGAAGCTCATGTAAACATTCGTGATCTTGGTTTATTAGAAGCTAAATATAAATATATTCAAACCTGGCAACGACTGACTGAATTCGGTCGAAGTTACTTTATTGTACAGTTTGAACGTGGGTTACTAGGATTGCCAAATACAAATAGTGGAGGGTTATTCAGTACTCCAATGGATGACATTATAGCCATCTGTCAGGGTCGTATTGAGGTTGTTTCTCCACAAACAGGCGAAGTTTTATTAACTTGGAATTTTTCTGATCTACGTTCATGGAATGTTAATTGGGATGCTGAAAAAGTCATTTTAGAATTTCGCAATTCACAGGTAACATTTCGACCATTGTCGACCAACTGTAAGACAATCGTAGAATTTATTGGTGGGTACGTATTTCTTAGTCAGCGCAATTTAGAAAAAAGTCAAGAAGTTAATGAACGTCTATTTCATCGCTTGACTGGTGCAAATGATTGAGTTCCTGATTTTTTGTTAATATCTAGAAATAACATTTGCTGTTGCTTAATTTCAAGTTTGTCACTTTCACACTCACTTTATTGTCGCCTCCAACAAAGGGAAATCCGAAAATATTTTGGTGACTTTTACATTCTCAGTACTATCAGTTCATTTGATTAGACAAGCGCAGGATTGGATTTATATTCTATTTCAAAGACTGCTATTTTCTACATAAATTCTCAAGTAAGCTATTACCTTCATTATTATCTGGCACTGCTAAATGTGAGATTTTTTTATTGCTGCTATCGTCTAATCACCATTATTATCGTTATTATTATTATTATTATTATTATTATTATTATTATTATTATTATTATTCATTTCAAATTCTGATCAATGATTGAAGCTTTTTCTGTGTCCACTTCTCACAGTTGAATTTATTTCGTCTTTTTCTTCTCCAGTTTAACTGTCAGTATTACCACTGTACATTGAACAAAGTACTATGTGGAATTTAAATAATAGTATTAAATTCTAATAATTATATTCCATTGTCTTTCAGAATAAGCTTTGCACTTTTCTGTAATTTTAAATGTTGCCTTATTGATTTTATGAGTATACTATGTTTGTGTTTATATATCCATATGTGTTTTTATGTCTATCGTATTTTAAAGGCGATACCTATGCATGTATATGGATGAATTAATCTATCGTTTAGCAGCCGCCATTTTTAAATTGCTTTCTTTTGCAAGCATTTCTCCATTTGGCTATATGTTGGTCTGTTCGATACAAGTAGTGAAGCAACGTCACTAACACTATCCTACTAAATAGAAAAAGTAATTAATGATTAATTTATTATTAATTTTTCTCGTCAACATACTAATGTATTTTTATTTACTTTAAATGGACAAAAATGACTGACTCCTTTTTCTTCAAGCTTTGGAAGTCAGCATATTTTGCTCTTGGATTTTAGTTTATGTTATGGTGGTTTTATGCGATAATCTTGTGTATTTTAATATGGTAATATTGCTATTGATATTCTTACATATATTTGCTATGGTATTCGGATTGTTTTAAAATAAAGTAAGTCCGGAAGATTATACTCAATTTTTTTGTTCTATTATCGTTTCAGTGGAAAATCAGTTCGTCAATGGGTTTCTTAACATATATTTAATTGATTTCGATAACGAATATGATATTTATCTGTGTTTATGCGGTTGATTTGTATAGAATTGTTCGGTATGTCATAAAAACATGAATGTCACTTAAGACTTGTAGATTAATGGGAAGATATGAAGTATCCATATTTGTATTTCGAAAAAACATGTGGACAAATATTCTTCATAAAGCTTATAGGTTTATCCCTTACCAATAGACCTCTCGTTTTAGCACAGTTGTTATCATGTCCTTTCGAGGCTTTCAATGTTAACATCTGGATGTGTATGATACTTTTTGTAATAGTGCGTAAAACGAAATTAGTTAGTTGTAGACCAACTTTTTAAAAGTCTACTTGGAGATCTTCACAGTTGCATTTTTCATATACTTTGTTGTTCATCTGTCTTTGAATTTTCCTGCTGGACTGAATATGAAAGACGTTGAATATCATGATGATTGTATTCGGTAGGCTCCATCCTATCGTTTTTGGGTTGTTTTGAAGATTTCCAAGAGTTGAACTTTTGTTCCTATGGCTTCCTAGTAATGTAAACTTCATAAGGGCTCCAATAAAGTTCTCTATTCGGTAAATCCATTCACAAAATTGAGCATTTTTAACCTTTCATACAGTTCGTTTTTTTCACCATCTATACAGATCGATGACAAAAAATAACAGATCATGTTTTAACCTCCTACAATAGGGAGTAAATGATTTGTCATTATTGATTTTTCCTTCATAATCTAACTCGACCGTTCGACACTGCAGACACTATTTTGGTACAGTCTGTTATCTGTTTATCTGAATAGTTCATCCTAAGGTAAAACTAAGTCATCTATTATCTGTTGATTTTATTCTGTCTTATTTTGATCAGGGTATCCAATGCAACTAACTTATTAATAGTGACTCAGCGTTCATCAGTGATTAGCTTCAAGAATTACCTAAAGTTCTAGTGAAAAACCATGACCTTTGGGGTCAGTTCTGATGGGAACAGGAATGGATGATGGTCGCAACATATTACCAGTTGACTAAAATTGATTAGCATGTATTTATTTCAGTTTTATAGCTCAGTGTTAACTTGTTCGTCATGAAGCCCAAAGGTTCTGTGTTCGATACTATATTGGTTTGAGGGTGTATCCTATTGAGATGTCTTGTATTAGGACACGACAATTGTCCAGTGTTTATCAATTCTTGGTGTTTTTCCAATTCATCTCAATACATGAAAACTGGCCTCAGAAACAATTGAATCAGTTTTGACAGTGATAGACAATGGAATAAAAGAAATTTACCTCCTCTTTAGGTAACGTTATCATTTTTTGGTAATAATATTCTAACTCAATATTCTTTCGTGCTAATCGCAATAAGTTATCTAAATGGTTATCAAATTATGGATTTCCTACTCATGATGAACTAAAATATCTATTAAACACGGGTTCAAAAGTTGCACCTACGGTCGTGCTTAAATTTATATTGGAACGATCACTCAAAAAAATACTCCAGTCCATAAAGTATGTCTGAAAATCCACAATATCACTTGCGGGAACTATCTTCTCAATAGGCTTTTAACTATGTAGTCGTATGACATGCCACCTGTCACACTGATTGCAACATCTACTATTATTTGCTAACATTCTGCTAACCTCAATAAGTTTTATGAGGTGAACGTCTTGTGATTGCTTTTTTACGTTATTCATCTGTTGTGGGAGTTACATTTGAGGATTCACAAGTAAAGCGTGAGGATTAATGCCAATGATCTCTAGAATGGCAAGGATGTGAACTCTATTTTGCGCTGCCATACTACAGTTACATCCAAATATCTTCGCACAAATGGAGACTTGTTCAAACTGTGGCTTTTATTTTGAAATTACTCAGTGTTTTGGCAACCATTTTTAGTTGTATATTTTATTGGTAGCTAGTGCTAATAATAAGTCAGAATGATAATCAAACTATTCATTTGACTATTTTTCATTCTCCTTCGGTGTTTATTTGGTTGCCTACCTACTCTTATTGTGCCAAGATTTTTTGGTGTTGCCTCTCTCTCTCTCTCTCTATATATATATATATATATATAGAGAGAGAGAGAGAGAGAGACATTTTAAGCGGTATTTGTTACTTTATGGTAGTTGGTAGGATAGACGTATGGCTAGGTCATTGATTTTTCATCTTTAGGCTGTGAATATATGTTTTACGGCCTTCAGATTACTTGATTATCCATCATATTATTTGTTTATTATTTTAGTGTTAACCGTTTGTGTGCGTGCGGCGTGTATTTTGAAGTGTTGTTTTTTAATGTGCATGTATGTGTTATAAGTGTACATAATTACTACGTCTAAAAAGATACACAGTAACAAAAAATTACTCAGCATTTTAAATAAAAAGCTTACTAGTTGAAGAAAGCATTAGAGAAAGATCTTATAGATAGTTGTGTTTATCCTGTCTTTACCTTTTCCAGGTACAGTGGTTCTTAACTCTTTCGAGATTTAGAATCAGCACTTCATAGCTCAATGTTGTTCTAGAATGAAAATCAACGGTCTAAATACAATTATGAAATAGCTCCTAAAATTTCCTGTTATAGTAGACTACTGAATGATTGTCGGATAAATCAATACCTAACTGGAATGTGTGAGACGTTAGATATTTTCTAGGTCAATATTACGAGAAGTAAGACGTTTTCCCTTGAAGATTATTGAAGTGTAAATTTCATTCAATAAGGTATTTCACCTAACAGTTATGGTCCGTTCTCAATGCTTTCACGTAAATCATACATACCTGAGGTAAAATGGTATCGATTAGAACAAAAAACTCGCTTTTATAGTTTTTTAACATTAATGAGTCATAATTCTTTTTTTAATTAGTATTCATTATCCTACGTAGTGAGCTAGGCTACTGTTGCGATACTCAGGCCGAAACAGGTATTTTTATCAAGGGATTAATCCCCGAACATTTGATCTAAGGATCTGATTCAAATGGCAGTGGAGCAACAACAGAAGATTCAGTCATTCGTTCCCTCCAGATCCTGGAGCTGACGTTTACGCATAGTTTATAACCAAGGTTTTTCAACCCTTAGGTAAACCCTGTGTGTCCACCAGATTTACAATTTCCATCATCTCATTTCCCTAGAAAAATCCCTACCATGTGAAGGCAATGAGTAGTACTTCTGTGGCAGATGGTGGGAACCCGTCACCGTATAAGAGCATTTTGAAGAGAGCGGACTATTTCTACCCAAATCCGTACTCCAGCATTTGAGGCCAGAATGTAAGTTGGTAATTCAAATAACTTACTAATGGAAACACTTTATAGAGTGTGTTTAGATATTGGTACGGTGTTTCAGCGGTGTTAAGGTTGGTCAAGCCTTATCCGGTGGAACCGAGTGGCTTTTCTGGAAATAATTTTCGTTTCCCAAGGCTCACAAACCCATTGAGGGGTTTGGTTTTGTAGCGTAATTGTTACTTCCAGGTCTTGGTGCGCAGGTATCGCACCAGGAGCAAGTATAGTTTACATAGATATCCGTAACATATAAGTTTTCACCCATGCATCCCTTGGTATACTCATAGGTGCATTTACCATGTGAGCAAATATACGCCACATGCACGCCTGTAACATACATGTTTTCACTCATGCATCCCATAGCATACATATAGGTATATTCACCCACCCAGTAGGGTAAATAGTCACCGCTCCCTTCGAATGTATTTGCTACAGCTGACTGTTACTTACATGTTACATGTATATCACTGGTACAAAGGCTTTCTTCACTGCACTTTATGACATACACATGAGCATAAACATATTTTTCTCATTATGTCTTCGACCTGAAGGATTAGGCCGCCGATTTTACTTGAGATAAGGCATAAATTTTTCAACCAACGTTCCTTGTGCTAACCTACTCGTGTACCCTTTGTATATAGCTGGGTACATGAACCCCAAAAGCCGAGGCTCATGCAATTTATATACCTAAGCATACACATCAATTAGCCCGTAAGATTTAAGAGAGCCTCGTAAATGGAACCCAGATAACCCGGTTTACAACAGTGGTGGATTAGTCTGATCTCACCGACCGCCCAAATTAGCCAGCTCGATTGCCCTCACTACCCAGCAGTGCCAGTCTGAGGCTTTGAGTCGGATTTCGCTGCCTTGCCATTGGTATGTTTCTTTATATCCTATTTGAATCAAACCAAACAATAATCAATATCCTTAGGTCTCCACACAGACACGTTTCTGTAAATAAGTTTCCATAGAGTTCCACTATTGTTATATATACTGTTATATATTTCAACTGATATCAGTCGCAAATATCTTTTTAATATTTTCTGAATTTTTTTTTATAACTCTCTTTCTGCACTTGATATTGTTAGAGTACTTGTTTATTTAGTAGGTATTTTCACAGGTTTATTATAAGAGAATAAAAATGTTTTGAACTTGCTAAATGACTTAATATGTAGACTTGTGTAGACTAAGATAAGTTCCCATTCAAGAACTGATTTTTAATTAAATCGATATATAAATTAGGTTTTCATGAATTAAATGTGAGCTAGATATATATATTTATAGCTGTATACAAATATACAACACGAAACAGAGCATTTCAGTGGTTTAATTTACTAACTGTGACCATTTGATACTTATTCATTACATTTATAAACTTTTTCAGGCGTAAGTAGGAGTAATCTATGAAAGTTTATAAATATTATTGTATTAGGTGTAGCTTTGATTTAGGACATAGGTACTGGTAAACATGTATCAATAGCGCTTAATTCTTACTATGGGAGCGTAGTACGAATTGAATCCTTCTATACTCTCTGATTCTTAGTGCTGGAGATACAAAATACACATCTTCGGGATTGTGAAAATGGTAATATATTTCCGGTTTTTGAAGATGCTATGATCATAATCCATGTCTCGAAAATATACTGTTAGATGGTCATTTTTATACAGAGGCTTTGAACTACACTGGCGAGGATCAGGTAGTTCGTTTTGATGGTTTAAATAGTTTGATTTCCTTCAAACTTGGCCCATTTTAACTTTAGTGAAGTCATAGACTAGTAAAAACTGCACACGAAGTCTCACAGTTTAGTCTGTACCTAACTGTAGTTTACAGATTTGGCAAAATATTTGTAGTAATTTCATTGAAAACCGTCATTAAGATATTTCGAAACGCATTTTCAATGAAGGGAATAATACTATGACTTTATAGGCTATGGTCCACAAGCTCTTCAAATAAGGTACCCGTTCTAACCCGAGTTTTCTCCAAACTTCTTAGCAGATTAATTGTTGCATAGTGAAAAGGGCTAGAGATATTCAGTGAAGTTTTCTATCGTTCTTGTATCTTCCTTTCTTTTTTTTTATCTTGTTCTGCTAATTCTCACTCTAAAAACTGAAATGATACATTACGTTCTTATAGTTCTTTTTTTTTCCAATTGGTATCGTACACTAGCTAATGAAGATATCCTTTTGGGGAGTTCATTTTCACTACTACACAACCACAATTTCATATCCTTCCTAAAACACTTTCCATAGTTTCAATAGACATAATTAACTTGGTAAATAGCTAAAAATTTGTAAGCCTTTTTCAACGCTTTTAATTTTGAAATTCATTAGACTGGTAACATTCTTAAAGTAGGTCTATATAAAAACTTCAAATGGTCGCTATTTTCAGCCTCATTTGTACGAAAGTTCATGGGTGCGTATTGATGAAGTTCTAGAATGAAAAAATCAAACAAGTGACTTGATTTTTATCCAGTTGTTCAGTTTATAGGAAAAACCTTTGTTGTTATTTTGAATGTACACTGAGGTTGTGTTTTGTTAGAAGCAAAATGAATGATTTCTGTTTCTTTATTGAATCATATTCTATTTTTTGTTAATTTGGAAACAAACTTATCATAGCGTGTTTTCCAAAAAAAATCCTATTTAATGTTCATCATTTTAACGTATTGTTGATTGGTTTTCTGACTTATCTTTCTCTCATTCTTCCAATAAATTGACCAATAGATACCCACACTCATAAAACAAGGACAGGGTTAGCCTACTTTATTTTAGAGACATGTTTTTATTTCCTTAAAGGTTAGGGTCAACGTAAATTTTTCGGTCTTGACGATTTATCGATGAACTTTCTTCATTGTTGGGGCGAACAATATACTTGTGCTTTGGAATATAAATGTCAAGTTCATTGTGAATGGGAAAAAAATTATTAGATCTGTTGCATTTTTGTTACTAAACTGAGAAAGATACTTAACAACTCGTATCTGTTACATCCATGACGAACACTAGTAATTTGTTTATGTGGGTATTTAAGAATTTTTGAAACAAAACAGCAAACGACTTAGCGCTAGTAATGAGGTGTTATGAAATATACATCTCAAAGGAAGCTAATCGTAAAAGAGTCGACTCGGGAATTCCGAAGATCAGAAAATTATCTAATAGCGTTCATTATTGTCTGGCTTCAGCTGAATAACCAAACTGAACAAATTCAGACAAGCCATCTGTCACTTAGTAGTTGTTGTTGATGAGCAGTTGTAAATGATAATATAATTTCTAGCACACAAAAGTATAAATAGAAGATTTATGGGTAGTCTATTTGGTGATGTAACGTCTAATTAATTTACTAGCTAAACTTCAAGGCACTAAATTTCACGTGCATACTACTTTTATGCTTCTTATTTAAATTCCACTGGTTACTGCTTTAAACTATTTGGATGCAATATTTCGTCAGGTTTTAAGAATCGACAGTTTTCAAAGAAATTTCAAAGGATGAAATAAAGGGTAATCTGAGCTATTCGAAAAGCATCCAGTCACACATATTTCATACACAGCAGATAAACCATTTAGAAAAACTTACAAATATTTAAAAGTTTTGGAAATCAGTCAAACATTCAATCGTATGGATTTGAAAATAGTAGCTTTTCAGACAAACAGGGTGTTAATGTCACTTTGTACTTGATCTTATCATTCTGAACAACTCAGCACTTGCTTCGATAGCATTCGATCTGCACTAATAATAAGGACTAGACACGCATAACATTGATCGCTGCCCAGTGATCAATCAGTTGTTATTACATCTCAGTCCTACAGCAGGTTAGTCACGGCTCGGATAGCTCAGTGGTAACGTCTCTGACTGTGAAGCTGGGTGACACGAGATCGAATCCGCCAGGGAGCACCAGTTCCCTCAAGATTACAGGTACACCTTGCTGACGAGTGCCAAGTAGCACGAAACCCGGGTCCAGGGTTTCCTGTTGACTACCTCCAACCACCATCTAATCTCAATACATAGTGCCCGCAGTGTCGAGTCACCTAGGCTGGTGGCCACACTGCAACATGGTCGATAGCATTCGATCTGCACTAATAATAAGGAATAGACACGCATGACATTGATCGCCACCCAGTGATCAATCAATTGTGAATACACTTAACATTGCGTCAAATGAATACCAAACAAACAAACAACCTAAGGAAAGTTTATCACATATATGTGAATAATTCGAACACGAAGCATTGATGCTTCGTTGTGCGTGTGTAGGGAAAATTTAGTTCTAGTTTGTAGACATTTTAACCAATTCGGACGGATAGGTTCTGTTTCATTGTAAGAAATGAAGTGAAGAAGTGGCTTTTGATTATCTCAGATAAGGAACAAAAAAATAGTCGGTAATAGTTATATTGAAAGATCGCTTAAGTTTAGAAAATCAGTTAATTTATTTTTGAAACGAAGTTTTCTGATGAGTTTAGGAGTAATTTTACTCTTTGGTATACAACAGTTGGGCAAATAGATGACGGTTTTTGGTCTTAAAAATTTTCATTAGCATACGCAGATGATTTTTCAGGAATGAAAATAAGATTATTGAGGCTCCAAAGTAGGAAAATTAGTTTATCTAACATTGGCTTATATTATAGCGGCTGATTGTGATGCAACTCTAGTTCATACGTTTTAACTTCAGTATGATTAATTCAATATTGTTCGACTTTCACAAAACAGGAATCATAACTCATTAACTAGACTCAAAGTGGTCTAGATTGCCTCTCCGACATAGACTTTGAAAAATAGTGTCTAGATGTAAACAAATATATTTGTTTGTATTCGGTGTTTTTCCTCTGTATCTAGTCTTTGAGGAGGACTTAGTGGGAGGTGGTTCGTTTTGTTTTTAATGGAAAACATCCAAGAAGGAGGTATATGATGTGTTTACTATGACGAACGAAGTTCAACCACTATAGTTGTTCCGTTTTAAGTTGCTACTATGTTATTTTAACGTAAAAATATGTCGTCTACTAATAACATATAGCGAAAGTATTCAAGATACTGGGGTAGAACTTAACTTTGTATCAAATGAGTGGATAGGTAATCATGTAAAGTTTTATCAATCTGTTGTCGAAAGCTTGCATACTGGCTGCGGAAATTCCATCAGATTTTATAAGAAATTTGTTTAAAATATTGCTTGAAAGTGCACTGAAAATGACTCGAATGCTCGTCCTTAGTTTGGAAAGGATAGCTAGTGAAACGCTCGCTTTTTAAAAATAACAATATATTATCCCTAAGCAATAACTTTCACTCCTAAGTTAGAGGTCTTATATACTGATATCAATGTAACCGTGCGACAATCGACTGTATATATATATATATAAGCGTGTCTGTTTTAAATTATAAATGAATTATTTTGAGTTCGTTTTAATCGCTCTGTAAATATTCAAATAACCATGGATATTGAAAATCTTATTCAGTTACACGCCATACTTTTTACTGTCTTTTTTATGATATTGCAGTCGTAAATCATGAAAGTGTTCAGGCTGTATGCACTTCACAACCATTTATATCAAGATGATTTGCTGGTATTTCATTCTCTTCAAGTTCATAACATAAATATATATGATTTGAGTTTTCAATGTCATTAGTTGATTATAACTAGTGATTATTTTAACAATATACTATTGCCTTTCGTATTATTGTCATCAAACGGCAATCAGCAGCTTATTGACTGTATCTCTTGATTAGGTGATATAACACCTAACACTCCATAACCTTCCTTTTTGTCATTCTCTAAAGTTAATATTCCTCAGCATATTCCAAATTCACTTTAGATATTTTAATAACGGTCAACGTTTGTTATTAAATTTTTGTTTCTATTCAATAAAATAATATTTAAATTTGTCGGTAAGAGAGCATATGATAAACTTCTTTAAAGTTTCATTGGAATTTGTTTGCGAAAAAAACAGTATTTCGTTTTTTCAAGTATGTAGACTATTGATTTGCGTAGTTAACTGATCATATGAATCTGATCACAGGAATAGTGTTTTGTATCACGAGTGCACAGCTTGTGAAAAGAAATAAGTGGACGTTATTTTATATAAATTATATTGTAGTTGGCTAGTCTGTTTTATTACTTATGGTTACAACAAATACCCTAGTGAATTTAGCTCCCAGCTATTCATTGTTAGTTGCTAATTTTCATTTTTAGTTGTAAGTGCATCTTGTGTGTTCACACTCAGTCATCGACCTACATATCATTTAGCAGTCCTGCCCTGCAGATTCCCATAAGCACACTCTCCACCCCACTCCCCCAGAGAAATCGTACCCCCTAACCCAGTGAAAAATTACTGACGACTGACCAATATATATGTACATATAATTTATCAGGGTAGTGATTGTATATACAGTAAAAAAAATTTCGCTTATCTTATGCTATAGCTATTGAAGAATTTGTAACTGAAGTGGACATCACGTGGGAAAGGATGAATAATTGTAAATGAGATAGAACTTCTGAATGTTAGTTGGAGTTTCATTCTCAATAGGGGTTGTAGATGTTATACAAGAGCTGCCTAAATATCCACAACTCCATTAAGTTATATTTGGTCTCATTTGGATTTTTATATCATAGTCCAAGTTATTGGGAATCATATTGAAGGTAAATAAATATTCTACTTTAATTTTCGCACACTACATTAAGAGTTGGACACTTTTACTCCAGATGAATTCAGAAGATACTCAGATTTTTTGTTTTTTTTCCACATGGTCTGTACGTTTAAACATAGTCACCGGACTGTAATCAGTGATGTGATCATTAGTGCTGACTGAATTTTGTCGATTAAGGTGAGAGTATAACTACCAAGGCTAGTGACATGACACAGAATTAGTCAGTAGTCATAAGCAACGTACAATCTAGGGCATATATGGATCAGTTCAAGCTACCGCACCATATCAGCACAGAGAAATGATAAAGTAGTAGAAATAGTGACAGTACCAGTCGTACCATGAAAGACGATATGATTCGAGGAAACATTTGAATATGTGAAATAGCAAAGGATCAGATAATTTTAAAACTCAAGGTTTAAGAACATACGAAGAGTGAATACATATGCGCTATTGCAGTTGACTGAACCATGTCACCCAAAGCCAGCAATCATTCCATCCCAACTAGTTAGTCTGGAAATACCAATACGACCTAGTCCAACAGTCATTGACTAATGGGTCGATGCCACGCATTGGTTTGGCTGCTCTACACCAAATATTGCTTGTTGAGGCAGGCGGTGTTTGGGCATACGTAATACCTATCCCAACCACCTCAAGTAATTAAGATTTACTACCTCATAAACCGAATAGCCTTAATAACTTTGTAACCTGCACCCAACATATGCGCGTAATGCTTCGAAGGTATATATGATCAAATACTGGTAACCCACGAGTATCCTCTTTTCTTAATGACCATGTTTCACAGTCATAAAGTAAAGTAGAATGAGTTGCCTCATAGTTAACTCTTTCAGCAGTTAGGAGGTCATCTAACCTACACCATAAGTGATGCAAGTTGACAAAAACCAAAGAGGCTTCCCGAATTCGTGCCAAGATTTCATCAGACCACTAAGATTGATGAGAAACCCAGGATAAGTGAAGCTGTCGACGCACTCAAATAATTCAATCTCTACTGTTAGTTTAGGTGTTGACGCAGACCAGTCTTGAAGCAAAATTTCACATTTACGAGGAAAGAAACTCATCTCAAATGTACTTGCATTGTGGCTCAAGACGATCAGAAGATTGGACTTTGTTACCTCATTCACTAAGCGGAACTATATCATCTGATAATTCTAACTTAATACGCAAATCCCCTTGTAGAAAATCAATTCCTGAAAAGTCAGACGATGAAGGCGTTATCTCAGAAAGAGTGTCTATAGGGAAAGTGGAAAACCGTGGAGAACACTATCTGATGATATCAATTATCAAGGAAGTGTGTTATAAGCTCTGATGTGAAGAATATTTTTCTAGTAGAGAGCCTTTAAAAGGTTGATGTACATTTTTAGTATCCGTTTTAATGAGAGGCTACCATACGACTTATCGATCAACAGAACCGAAAGCTATTTAAAGGCAAAGAAATATCACTAGACGGGCTTTGGTAGGTATGTCTATATTTCAAAATCCAACGAAGGGTGAATATTTGATCGGTACAACCATATTCACACCTGAAGTCATCTTTGTCTTCTTTGGTTCTCTGTTCACAATTCCTATTAAGCGCCAGAGAATTGTAATATTCTAGATGCTATGGTAGTCGAACTGATTTTTCTGTGCATTTTGCTCCTTTTAGATGAACTAGGATGATCAGTGGTTGAGACCATTTAGGTGGAATTATGTTTAGTTCCCAGATTCTAGCCAATATTTCAGCCCATCTGACTGCTTAAGCTGGGCCATCATTCCTAAGGACCTTCAGGGTTAATGAATCGGGATCAGCTGCCCCCCTTTTCGACTTATTTTAATCTCCCGCTCTGTTTCATAATAGTTAGAAACTTGAGAACAGTTTAAGTGTTCCTAAAAGAGTTCTGACCATCTTTCTAGTCGTCTGAGCTGAGAGTAAATCATGGTTACACGTTTTTTAGAAATAGTCCTACTAACAGCTGAATTTCTGATACCTTCTTTGGAAAGTTGTCTACTATTACCTACCACTGCTCTTTCTATCTCTTTTGCTTTCGCTTACAACCACTGGTCGCGATCGTTAGGTACACCTTTTATCAGTTTATGTTTAAATAGCCTTCGCTCCTCATTTTATTCGCAGCCTGGTAGAATGTCTCTTAGCATCGACCAATTCAATTGACATCATTGGAATTCACTGACTTCTAATAATATTTTGGTTTAAGTCACTGATAGACATCACAGCTGTTCGGATACTATGCCAACCCACATTGAGGTGGACACCATTTCGATGGTTGTTGAAGGACATCTCTAGTTCTTCCTGGAGTATTTCCTTGAGTTTTTATCAATAACTGGGCACTAAGGAATCTTCCTTCCATGGATTTTCTGCATCCAGTAAAACGCTAGTAGATATGTGCTCGCACAAGAGCGTGATTCGAGTTTAAACATGTGCTTCAGAAAGATCGACGATTCCATGTTGAGCCTCTGATGATAAACGAAGACGATATGGTTTATTTGAGTCCATCATTGAGTCGATTTTGAGGATCGCTATGCCAGACAAAATCTCTTATGCTTGGAGTTGCCATTTGCTATAGATAAACTATTTCCTGGGGATAGTAGCACTAGATGGCAGTCGTTGCCTATTTGTTGACCAGTACACCGTAGTACCCAACTAAGTACCTTTCAGTTGAATATAGACCACCTACTTATCCAATGAAACTACTGCATCTGAGTGTTTGTTTTTTTGAAGGACATCAGAAGGCATTGTGTAAAAATTATTGTGAGTATGGGCAGAGACGACGAATAGGCAACAGTGCGCTCTCCTCACCTGAGTTCCTACAGTCTCGTTTAGTCGGACAGTGCACAAGCAACCGTCTAATATAATCCAACACGGAAAAGCCTGTTTTGGTTTTAAACTTGACTCTATGCCTACGTTAGGAAGGCCATGAGAAGTAGCGTTCAAGATCACAAATACAGGGTGGGTAAATTGTTCCGGTTTCTTAAACTGACGAGGCTAGGTCAAGCGAGCCACAAAACCTGAATACCTTATGCGAGTTTTGCAGATGCAGCCAATGGCTAGTGAAGCTTGTTCTCCGATTTAACATTACGTCCGAACATTGAAATGCCTAACACTTATTCTAGACATCGGTTTAAGGAAACTAGGAGTAGAGTTTCATGAACCCAATTTTTTAACATATATGGTGCCTGAAGACAAAGATAGAGTTCTAGGAGAAGGGTTGATAGTGGGGATATGAGAAACGTCAAGAAGTGACAAAGAGATTTTTTCAGGAACAAGATGCTCTCGTGTAGTTCGAGAGATGTAAGACCAGTTTTCAGTTCCGGGTTGTCCATTACGTGGAAGAATTCTAGAGGGACCTGAAAAGGAAGCTGGATTGGTAATTGTCTTAGTGACTCGAGGTGGTGAACTCACTGTTCAAGGAACAATCTGTTTGAGGCACGTTACACATGGTTTTCTTGCAAGTGGTTATGGATATGCTAGCTCCGTACATTTTGCAGGCCTTATAGCAGGCGATGGAAACCCATGAAATAAAGTGATGTGTAATATTTTTAGGGTCTATCTTTTATGATCCCTTCCACCCGTTGTGGGAATGCAGTATCACTGGAGATGCCAATTGTTTACTATCCCACCTCTGTACAGTCACTAGTAAAACTTCGCCCTCAGACGTTAGGTTGGTGCTTTAGTCTTACCACTATCAAACAGACTTGTCTGGAATGGTAGGACCTAAAGGAACAAGTATTCCTATCAGTATGGCTCGATTGTATCATTATGACCGGAAAGGCCGACCGCCACGTCAAATTAGCAGTTACGGCAGGATTACGAATCGAAATATCATTTTGGTAACTGTTTTGTTCATTTTGCATGCTTCGAATAAAGTCTACTAGAGAAACAGTATTGAACACTAGTAAGTTACAAATGACGTCTCTACTTGGAATAGTAACATAAGTTCCAGTCTCATTGGTAGCATGAGATTTCTGAATGTTGTAGATAGATTTTGGTTTCAAAGTCCAGACAAACCCAAAACTTAGTTATATCTATATACTATCTAGGTCGGTGGGATCTAACCATTTTACAGATTATTCTAGGCCTGTGATTACTATTTGGCTGGTACGTTTCAGCGTTTATCCAGTTTATGTACACTGGAAGTACAGATATGAACCTAGATAACTTTATTGTAAATTACTATCTAGTGAAAATTTGAGCAGATACACGTATTTTCGCAAACGAAATTTTCAAGTGAACAGGTGTTTTCAGTTACTTTTTCAGGGCTTGTATTTATAAATCTATAAATATTATGTTAAATTAGGCTCTCTCTCTCTATATATATAGTTGGATTAATCAATTATAATTTGAAAACTGTGAACTTCGCGTCTTTTATGCTTTGAATACCTACAAATACATCATTGAAATTTAAATGTCATATAAGAAAGGGTAAGTAAAAAGCATGATGTACATTTTCTTTATGTACTCGTATAGTGGATAGGATGTCCGTTCCTACATGATAGTCAGATAAAGCTGTATGCGCACCTGGGAAGTATGCTTATTGTATCATACTATTTGTTGAAAACAAAGGAAGGACTAAATGTGAACCACAGCTTCTATATATAGATGAGTTGAATGCTAAGAGAATATCTTTTTTTTTAAAAGTACTTGTCAGTTGAGTTTTCTATGTAAATTACTTGGAACTAGTAATTGTAGGTGGCTGCAGCTATAAAACACCGTGTTCAATTTTTTGTATTTCCAAATTCTCACTGGTATACACGTTGTTCTCCTAGTCGATATATTTTAATAATTGCATATTCGTTTTCCACTTTAACCAAATCTCTTCATTTGGCCTTAAAAAATGTTGATCAATTTCGTCGTAACACTATTTTTGTTTCATTTTATCTCTAAAAGGATAAGACTTTTTGGTATACATAGTATGTCTCGTGTAGTACGCCTGCCTAACCAGAAATCCATAAGCAGACGGAAATATAAATAATAATTTTTTCTGTCTGTCTCTCACTCACTATTAAAAGTACAATCTTTGTGACTAAAAAATTTAGATTTTAGTGACATTCAAAAATGTGTAGAATGCTAATGCGGGCCATCACTTTGTTGAGACCTACCATTGTTAAGTAAAACAAAACAAAGAGATCAACAATGATAGCAAAATATTTTTTTAATGAAACGAATCAGATATTTTGCTGACCTTTTGAACATTTATGGTATTCTGTTGACTGAATAAATCAGCATAGTAAAATTTATCTTAAGTAACTAGTTTAGTCATAAATGACATGTTAAAGTTTAAGAGAGAAATATGGTGTAGTTGAAAATAATTATTCAATAGACAGGAATATCGGGCCCACATAACAATGGGAATTAGGACTTTCAGTCAATGGAGATCTTTATTTTCTCAAGAAGTTGTAACCAGCTATATCATTCTAGTTCTATTTCCTAATCGCTATGAATTCATGATAGAAAATTATGTCGGGATGAATGATAGTCATAATAACATATTTTGTTTAGTAAGTGATACTAAATAAAAGGTCAGCAAAGGTAGATTTCATAGTATGTCAGGAAACCTTTTGACAAGAGAGCGAGGTGAAATTACATTTAAATGAGTGAATCAGTATAAAGAAGAAAGCACTTGCAAAGAAGTTTAAAATCTATGAGTCCAAAACAGGGGAATGGTTTATTGTACCGACTCAAAGCCATAGTCGGACATCAACGAATACACCACGACTGCTCACAATTTAGCACTCTAAAATGCAGCATGCACTTATCATCAGAAAGGAGGGAAAGAAGTATGCTTATGATTACTCAGTCATAAGAAGTGAATACCCTAACAGAGTTCTGCAATTTTAGAGTACCACTCTCTGTTGTCTGCAAATGGAAAATCCAGTCAACCAGGAGGAATACGAAATGTAGCCAAGAAACCTTCAGGAGTGTTGACACTATTAACCTTTTTTGACAAGGATCTCATAACACTTCTTTGATGTTTTGAATTATTTGAATTGTAGTATGAACTAAGAATCCCCGAAATAACGCAATTGAATCAAGAAGTATAAGACAAGCACGAACGAATGTATTGTATTTAGAATTCGAAATCAAGCATTCAACAAGTACAAAGAAATCATCAGTTCATTCAAACACCACAATTTCATAGGACGGTGATATAGCAGGCTTTAAATTCATGGGTTCGTGTATGATCTAAAAGGCTAATATGTAAATTTTGCTGACTTGTTAAGTGGATTTTAATCATGTTTATTTTGTGTATAATATTTTGCATGTATATGTCTAATTACATTACGTAAAATGACTTATTTCTGACCAGCTATTTCATCATTTTTGTTATCTATTCATTGTGGGTTTGGATCAGTCGTTTTTAATTTGTGGCAGTTATCATTCAGTCATATTCAATCTACACATTTAATCTTAATTCTCAAAATCATACAGCTTTTTGACAGTAATGACAGTAAAGATTATTTTGATATCTATGTCTCAATGGTGGAAATTACTCTCAAAAAACTTCTGTTCAACTATTTGGCGAAAATCGTCTAGATAAAAGTAACCAAAATCTTTTGACATCTTCAAATTATTGTAATAAAAATTATCATGTGGGACTCCCTAAAATTTATGATGGCTTAACTTATCTGATAAAATAATAAAATGGCTGAGGTAGCCGAGCTGATAATTTTATTACAAAACCAATCACCGAGTTCTAACTAGACGAATTTTAGATGATAGGACTATTATTTTGGAGACTAAAACAGATATTTAAGTAAACAGTATCATATAAATATAATATCACTTTGGTAAAGTGATTATTCAATCTGATAGATCACTGGAAATTCAGGATTGAAGATAGGATTCTATTCTCGTTACGTATGTGATATTACACAACATTCGCTGGCCTAAGGGCATTCTTTAAGACAATTTGCTGCATTTAGAAGGAAACAAGATAGCCGAAATCTTGATCATAATGTGAATTAGCTAGTTCAGGGAACCATGAGATATTGTCTTCTGCAAAGTAAGACAAATAATAAGCTTTTAAACAGTAATTCGAAAGATGAGTCATCAGTTTGTGGCTTTAACGGGTAAAAACAATTATTGACTGTTAGAGCTACAGATAGTTCGTAGGTAACTTAGCTTTAATTTCTTCTAACTGCATATCACATAAGCTAGAGTTATCATCAGTTTTCTGCCGTGGACATATCTGTTGTACCATGACCCGATATAATGAGAAACAAATATAAAAATGAGGATGTTATGGATGATGTCATCCCATCACATATAACAGCTTTTGATGTTGGTTCACATAGACCCATGACCTTAATAAAAAAAATTGATAGAAAAGCATTAGTCAGTGATAAGGATTTGATTGTATGAGATTAGCGACTGATTGTTTACAGTTAAGTCATTTCTAATTTGTTTTTATTATCCTACTACTTAAACTGTACTGGTAATTAAAAACAGCTCCACTAACTATACTTCAGTTTACTGTTTTATTGAATTAACAGGACTTTGATTTGACGAATGCCGTACCTGTATTTTTACGATTATCTAGAAACGACATCTATGCATAATTATCTGATTGGTTATCTGGTTAATAATTAGCGTTTGCCAAAGTTTTATTGATTTCATGTGTAGTTATGATGAACAGAGATAAATGTATAACAAGTCTAAATATTTAAGTGGATTGGGGGGGGGAGAATCATAACGTTTAGCTTATCAATCTGTAAATCGTAGTAATTTGTAGGTGGACTTGGTTTTGTTTTGCGAAACGATTGAATAAATCACATATACATATAATATTTTAAATCACTCGTCATATTACTGAATCTAACTATTGAGTAAACTAGATATTCCTAGTGTTATTGACATCTACTGAATAACATTACTTGGGTCATCTCGCTTTCTCGTCAAAGGTCCAGGGAAATTTTAACTAAAGGTTTTCAACTTGTGAAATTTTTTAATGGTTAAGAACGGCATTCACGGCTCGTTTAGGGGATATAAAACCTTATTTTAAATCTTTCAATCATTTCCTTTAGTTAGCAATTTACTATTAACATTGTAAGATTCTTGAAACCGAAATACAAACATGGTGTTTATCTACAGATTTCATTGAATTTTACTGAGTTTTGGTTCTCTTTTCCGTTCTGTACATCCATATTACGAAAAACAATAGTTCATGTTCAAGAATTTTTTGTTCGAACACAATTGGTCTAGGATGATTTCCCGCTGTCTGAAATAGATTATTTTAATGGATTGTACTGTAGAGAATTTCGTAGTACAAGACAAATCAACTAACCATGACTATTTGACTGAAATAACGAGTCACTTCAAAATGTTCAGGTTGTACTTTTTAAATTTTATGTACATTACCTGATTCATTAAAGTGTACAAATAGTGGAACACTCAATACCACTTAAACAGGATCCAAGTGATTTTGAAAAGTTTAGTTGAAGTAGATAAGCTTTATTGCATCTTTGTAGTTAGCCAGTTAAATAATTACCTAGTGATAGCAGAAACAACTGTGGTTAACTGGATATCCGCTTTAGTTATATTTGCTGAAACTATCACTTATTCATTAGTTCTTATCATCTGAATTGACTGATTAAAAAAGTCACATACAATACATTTGTTAGATATTCAAACATTTTGCTGTTCATTTCAAACAAACATGAATCGTTTTCATATAATGTATTATACATGTTTTATTTAAATCCTAATTTTATTCTTGATATCAATAAAATCACATGTGAATAAATTAAAGGTTTTTGACTATTCCATTGTTAACACAAGTTAAACTACCTAGTCATGAGTTCGTATAATTCAAATTATGAAATACTTTATGTATTAATTTCATGGAATTAGAAGAATAATTTCACTTTCATCATACACCGTAGTTTGAAAAGGTGAAAATGTATTAGTAGTATAATGAAATTCAGGTAGAAGTGTACACAAATTTTAGCTATGGTTGTCAATAGAATAGCTCTCAGTGAAATGCTAATCATCATTTTGAGTTTAATTTGAGGAAAAAGCTTACAGTATGTGAATGGTTGGCTGACAAATAACTGGTTTATCATTTTCGAGTCTCGGACATAAAATGAATGTTTTCGTATGACTGAGTTATGGTCGATTTTAGTACGATTACTTGACCAGATGGCAGTCGTTGGGAAGGCGAAACATATCGATTAACAATAGCAAATTTTATAATACTGCGATGGGAATAATCAATACGGATCAACTTCCCTTAGGAATCAAGACTAGTGGCTAGATTTTACTGTGAAGAAATCAATAGTATGATGATTAAGAAAGATCTTGATCATTATCACTCCCTGCAGGATAGGATCTAGGTTGGATTTTAACTAACTGATTGTCCTAATAATATCCGTGTATTTCAAATTAATGCAAAACAATAACTTTATTGACCCTATTTCTAAGATGACATGGAATTATTACAACGCTTGATTAACCACTTCTTTCTTTTTGTTGTTTAGAAGTTAAATGTGTTACACACATTCAGTAGAGTGGAGTAAAGCAGGATATACTTAGTTCAGGAAATGACTGGAGATAATTTTCTCCTTACTGAGGGAATTATGGTTAATTCTTTTATCAAGTTAGTTATTTAGTCTTGAATGAGTCAGGCGCTTCATTAGGTTTCTGAGTCGCATGCAAATATCATTCGATAACGTAAGTCAATCTTTACTTCAATTTACAAGGATTTACAAAAAAGTTATAGTTGAGTAATCGCTTTCCTGATTCACTGTCTACTATAGCTGTAAGCAAGATAATTTGGAATCTGTGTGTAGGTTCTGTAAAATATTCTAACCTGTCATATTTAAAGAGTAACTAGGTGATCTGCAAACTACTAAGCTGAAATAAATAACTCGTCGCAAATTTTTATCACTACAATATTATTATTCAGACTACTTAATAGCACTGTCAGATTGTTTCTATCGTTTTGAAGTTGTGAACACTTCTCATTTCTTCATTTAAAGGCCCTTCATATTTTCCATGAGTAAAGAACCTGTTACAATACAGCGGGAATCAGTAACAGGTTTGGACATAGTCAAATCTTGACATGGTAATTGGGATTGGACTAATATTAGTCATTTAGTGTTACCTGTCTTGTAGACCATTTATTCAAACTTGTATTTCGGTTATCTGTCAAAATATCGGCGTATACCATTTATTTGATATGTAGTGAAGCGTTATTTTACACATCGTTAATTTTATATTTACATTTCCATCGAAAGATAACGCGATTTAATCGTATCATGAAGAAGAGATCAATATTCGCATTGGGATTTTATTTGAAAAGGTGGACAACTACAACATTCAGAAACCCATTGTTTATCTCACTTATTAGGTCCTCCGTCCCTTTACGAAGTTGAAAAAGCCATAGGAAATCTGAAACGAGGGAGAGCAGCAGGCCCTGACAGGTTTACTCCTGAGATTTTTAAGGATGGTGGTCCAGTATTAGCAATGAAATTAACCGAGGTCTTAGGTAGAATTTGGGAACTGGATGTAATCCCATCTGACTGGTCTCAATCACTGATTGTGCCAGTTTATAAGAAAGGACAAAAGTCCTCTTGTGACAATCACAGAGGAATCAGTTTGACTAATATAGTGTCTAAAATATTAGCTTCAATAATACTTCGACGCCTAATCAAAGCTCGTGAAGAGCAGATTAGAGAAAACCAGGCCGGTTTTCGACCTGGACGTGGTTGTATAGATCAGATATTCACACTACGTCAGGTTCTAGAACACAGACACAAATTCAGACGCCCCACAATGGTAGTATTTCTCGACCTTAAGGCGGCATTCGACTCTGGTGATCGTGAGGTTCTATGACAGTGTTTGTCACTGAAAGGAGTACCAAAGAAGTACATTAACCTTATAAAGGCTCTCTACTCGAACACAACTGGTCGAGTGAGAGCTTATGGCGAACTGTCATCAGAATTGATTACCTCAAGTGGTGTTCGTCAGGGCTGTCCACTCTCCATTCTTGTTCAACTTTGTGGTCGACATACTTTTAGAGATAACACTCTCCTCATCTAAATTTCCAGTGGTTGAACTTGTACCGGGAGGTTCACTTGTTGACTTAGAATATGCAGATGACATAGTTTTATTTGGTGAAGACGCTGACAAAATGCAGAGTCTTCTGACCACTCTAAGCAACAATGCAAGCATGTTCGGGATGCGATTCTCCCCCTCGAAATGCAAAATGTTGCTTCAGGATTGGGTTACATCGACACCCGAACTAGTGATAGGGAGTGAAGTAGTTGAGTGTGTCGACCGCTTCACTTATCTTGGAAGTTACGTATGCCCAACGACCGACTGCCTCGACGTGCTATGTTCAGTGGTATAGGAGTAGGTTGGAAGAAAGCTAAGGGCGGCCAAACCAAAACATGGCACAAATCCATGAAGTCACTGACAAGTGAACTGAGTCATGTTGGTAGGTGTAGACTACCTGGTTGGGGACCGCGAGATGATGGCGACCGATGGTTAGAGACCCTGGATGACATGGCTCAAAATTGTTTGCAATGGCGCAGGTGCATCCACTCTCTGTGTTCTCCCAAATTCTAATCTTCTGAATTCTTCATGTCCCTTTTTTCCTCTTTCCAAATTTATTTCACTGGATTATACTCTTTAAATAACATCTCCAAACCCTAATATTCCAGATTACTGCTTATACTCTTATTACCTCTACCACTACGGGATTTGAATCGACAACTGTATCTCTGTGCTAATGTGGTGTGGCAACTCGAACTGATGTACGTACGTACGAAGTTCTACGTTGTTACTGACTGACTGAGAGTTTATCGGTTGGACGAGCAATATTGCTTTTTCCCATCTACAGTTAACTACATTCGCTGTCAAATAGTTGATCATTATTTACGTTGGTAATATTTAAAAACTCGTTTTTGTGTTTTGGCTGTCATCCATTTTGGAGATAGTCATTACTCGAGTCCAATGTCATAGGCGATTATTGTTTGGTCGGTGATGTTACATGATTCACTTGCCCAATTAGTTAAATGTATATTTACAACAGCAAAGCATTCACTACGGAATTTAAAGTCAGAGAGATTATTTCCGAGAAAAAACAAGTGAGTTTTATTAAGAAAGAATGAACAGAATGAATTGCTAAGTACCTGCTGGCTTTAAGCGATTATTTTTTCGAAGATGATAACCATCCCCAAATCTATAGCCGCTTAGTAAGTATAGTAGAAAATATCTAGTGATAAAAATTGGATTTTGTGTGTGGTTGTTTTTTCAAGAACAAGAAGACATTTGAAAATCCTTTTATTCCAAGTTTACATTAATTTCATTCTTTTTGGTTTACCAACTGCGCAAGTTGGTTATATTTATCTTACTTGATACACTGATGTTCGCTATGGATATAGTTAGTTTGAGATGCGACTAACCTACCACATTCTGTTAGTTACATCAAACTTCTTCAGATTGAAGCATGAACACATTTGTAATGCATCGTATCAATACTTTTCTCCAAGGCTAACATATTAAACTTCCGTAGTAAAATCCCCCAAAAGTAACAACTTTACCATAATCATTACTTAGCGTAAAAGAACAGAGAATGTTAAAAAAAGTTATTGTTAGTATAACAGTAGATTAGTTGCAAATACGTGGCTAATTATTGATAAATATACTAGTTCACGTAACAAGGTTAGTAAAACCTGAATATCACTTTTGATATGATTTTCAGGTGGTGTGCATCAAGAGATGTATTTTTACTGGAATAATGAGTTACTTTAAATTTATTAGAGGGGTACTGTTATAACAGTTATGTTAACTTGCTAATCCCGAGTTACTTATTGTCTGAAAACTAATGTCCTAATCAGGCATTATAATCATAATTAGAGACTAGGAATTATATAAAGGGCATACGGAAGCAAGACATATGAGGATACCCAGTCTTTGTAAATTGTAAGGATATTAGTATAGGTTTAGATTACTGTGTATATTATCTGAGGACAGAATACTCTACTTTGATTTCTAGATATGTCTATGTGAGATAGCATAAATTAGACTGATATATATTTGCGCTAATTCCTAAGTTGACTATAACGGACTGTCTAATTTTTAATCAACAACGACTGATGTTGTCTAATTAATATAAGTAGTAAATTCGCCGATTTTTGAGAGTTTCGAGTGGACTGGGACCTTATCACAGAATTGATAGTGTATTAACAGTAAAAAATATCGAATAGTGTGAAAGAAGTCCTCACTAAGTCTTAATAGGCGAGGTAATGAGTGTTTGTATGCAATTATTACTAACAATTGATTATTTTTCATTAGAAATAAAATAGTGACTACATAGAATAGAATTGGGAAAAAGAATTACGTTATCTATTTGAATGAGAAAACATTTGCTATATATAAGTAGCAATAATAATTAATTGCAATATTAATATACATATAAATGATGCAAAGTGAATACAGACCAAGATTAATCACGAGAAAAAACGACATACAAGTTGAATTTCATTCTTTATTTTCGCCTGTTTACACAATCATGAAATAGATAGAAACAAAAGCATGAAGAAGAACAATACGACGATGAAATGATTATTGTTAGTCCATTTATATTCAATATAAAAAAGCTGCATAATGTTAGTGCATGCAGACTATATTGATTATAAAAAAGTGTACATTGGTAAATGTAATATAATGCAGTTGTTGGTATTTGTGCTATAAGAAAAGTAAATTCGAGAAAGAAAGATAAATAGGAGGTAGAGGACTACAAAGGTAAAAGACGCATCTCATTCTAAATACATTTCGTGTATACTAGTCAATATAGCACGATAATCAGACCGTACTCATACACAAAAATCGAAAAGACGTACTTACAGGATATATATAATGTACTTTTTACATTGCCATTTTGCTTTAATGCGACAATATAATAATTATGATAACAGCATTGATGAGATGAGGAGAATGAAAACAACATTACCAGTAATATTCTCCTGGTACTTCGTGACACTCAAACACGAACAAATACTTAAAAACGGGAAAAGGCTCAGTGTTATTTTTTTTATAAAGGAGGTTACAAATAACGATTATCGAAATCATGCAGTTGAAAACTTAAATTGAAAAATAAATATATCCTTCATAAAATGTTTAAAAGATGGAAAGAATGCAATGGAGGAGTGCAGAATAACAATATATTTATTTATGCATTTGTACGTGTACTTGGCGGACTACGACAAGAACAAAATGTAACCGGATTAGTGAACAGATAAACAAAACATGATAACGCCGAATACAGTTTTCATTACATTATTCAGATCCCATATATGCAGTTATATTGTATCGTGAAAGTGTACATGTGTATGAGTGAATAAGCCGAAACGTAGATGATTTTTGTCAACATAAAAGTCAGTCAAATGTAAAATAATCTCAACAAAATAACTTAAAAGAACAGGGTAACCAAGCACAACAATCTACATAATATCATGATTATCAACAATACAAT